TTTGTTGCCTAGCAGTGAGCTTGGCAGAGATATTACATGAGAGTATCAATTTCAGGAACTGAGTCATGAGACTTTCTTGATTCTATTCAACAGCACTCAGCTGTAAGGTGAGTAGAAAAAAGTAAGGGAAGCAGAGAGAAGAGTTGGCAGTGCTGTGAAAAATCTTTGTGGCCAGTAAACCAATTTTATTCTCATTTTCCTCCAAATACCATTAATTATAATACAATTTTTAATGCCATGTGGAGTACAGCATCTTCTGAAACTCTTACGATCAGCTCTTAACCCTGAATGTGAATACCAAAGAATAAGATAGGATCCTATGTGGTTCATAAATTGAGTACTCTCTTGGAGAGACAGGAAAAGTCATTTCTTTCTTTTAAGTCTCATACAATGTCAAGAGGGCAGCCTCTTAATGCTAATACTGTAGTCAAGACTAGGGTACTTAAGGTAGCCACACATGCTGTGTCTCAGAGGGCTTAGTCCTCATTCATGGCCCAGATCTGTGAGCTTGGTGGTGGTGGTGGTGGCGGGTGGATTTTTTTATCTTATTTTTATTTCTATTTTAGTACTAATATCAGAATAAACAGCAGCATAAAGCACTTTTAGCCCATCAGAACAAAGAGAACAAGGACTTTAAATATACAGGAGTGCTCATAAGTATATTAAAAGAGTTAATGCCACTCATTGAAGTACCAGCACTAACGCTGAATCCATTACATAACTTCATTTCTCTTTTGGTAAATTATGTGCACTGACATCTACACTTCAAGTACCTCCTTAAGTTTTGGAATCCATGTGATGTCAGAGAACACAGCTTAAGATAACGATATTATATACATAGAAAAATAAGCAAGTGCACATAATTTTTATCATTAATTTTAACCATGTGGATCATGTCATTAAAGGTTCCACTCTTGTTTTTAATTATTCAGGCTACTTTTATAAATTCACTCTATACATTAAGTATTGACAAAAGAAATATTCTATAATCAGTTGTAAAAATTATAAGTAACTTTTTAAAATGGTTAAGAATCTCAGTCACAATTAATTGAGGTTTCTTGAATCTCCATAATAGGTTCTTCACAGTGCTGTGTGGTAGAAAAGATTCTCAACACTTGATCTACATTTGCTTACCAAAGAATTTAGAGAACAGGTGGAGAGGCAAACTGAAAACACATTAAATCATATCTAAAAATAAAGGTATGTGATTGAGATTATAGGATAAAATATATTACTGAGACAGGCTCTTGGAAGTTAAAAGGAGAGTGAGTCTCATGCTCCCATGAGAGAAATCTTTCTCTGAGCAGACAAGGGGAAAAACAGAGAAAGGTTCAAGACATCTGTTAAAGGGCCAAAACAGAAAAAGGAAAGAGGGTGACTATTTTGGAGTCACTAGGCAAATTATCCCATGGTGGTCCCCCAGGGCGGCAATTATAGCAGATCTTAAACCAAACATCCAGGAGACACCTGGTGATGGCACAGAGATAATAGTACTGGGAAGGGACATCTGTCCTCTCTCAAGGCTTGGGATATTCAGGATATGAGGATTATTGCCTGAGAAAAGATCTACTTTGTTCAAACTGTAGCCCAACTGGGCTCTAAGGGACCTTGAGAAAACTATGGTCTGAATTATGAACCAGCCTATCCCAAGAGCCTGCATATGAGAGACATGGTTTTGAGCACACAGGGTGGAGTTTAAGACCCCCACTCTGGAGCATAACCCCTGGATACACATTGTGGTTCTGTCTACAGCTGGCTATATCCTTTGGCAAATTACTTAACCTCTCTGGGGTCTCAGTGTCCTAATCTAAAAATGTACATTAAAATGATATTATCTCACAGACTTGTTATGATGATTAAACAAGTTACCACATGAAAAGCACTTAGAACAGGGCCTGACACATAAGAAGTACTATGTTAAATGTTAGTCATTGTTATATAACTTTTATATACTTAATGTTTGATGTTTACATTGGATTTTCTGTTAAACTTTTAAATATATCTTAAGGGGAATAAAACTTGTTTCACATTCAGATATTTTTAAAAGTGGAAAAATGGGACTATGTCCCCTATTTTACTTGGGAGAAACTGGTATAACCAACCAGTATATTAAGGTGATATACTAGACAACATGTAATTTAGTAATAAATTAAGTATAGCAGGAAGTAGTACATGTTCTGTAGAATTATAGAAAAAAAGACTAGTCACTACTAGAATAATCTGAGGTTTCATGGATGAGGTACGAATGGTCCAGCATCTCAAAGAATAGGTAGAACTGAAAGTTAGATCAGACTCCCCCCTCTATTCCAGTAATTTTATGATTCCTTGGAAGCATTTCTGATGCGTTAAATAGACAAAAGAGGAATGAATGTATATTGAGAAAGTTATCTACCCAGAAGATGACTCATTTGGGAGTAATGGAGGTGGGGTGGATAAAGCTTGATAAAGACAATCAGATCATAAGGTCCTGAAAAGTAAGCGGTAGGAAATGGCAAGTCAAAGACAATTATTGAACAGAGAAAGGATGTGCCCTCATTTAATTGACTAGATGCTTTTTAAGTCTGCAATGGAGAACAAGTTTTTTACCATAAAGTTGTAGAAAGAAGTTTAATTAACAGAACATACTATATAACATCTGAAAGTGAGAAAATTAGCCTGGCAGAGATATGCAGGCAGGATAATGAGGTCTAGCTCACTGCCAGGAGATTAGTGGTTTCAGATCTACTTCCCATATTAGTTCACAATCTTTTGAATAGAAAGAGGAGATAAATCAACGTAGGAAAGCTCACCCATATCTAAGATTCTGCTTTTTACAGATCTGGATGTATCAGTTGAAGTCAGGAAATGTGGTGGGATGGAACTCTGGTGGACAAATAAAATGGCCAGAGCATGAAAGAGCTTTTCTTCATCCAATATATAGTTTTTTCCCTTTGCTTTAAATGGTAGTAGGGACTATTTGTAAACTATCTAAACAATGACACATCAAACACAAGCTTTAACCTAATCACATGTTTCCAACCTCTACCTTTATTGGACCTCTCCATGCTCCTCCTCTGTCTCCCCACCTGCTTCCACTGACACATCAATCATTGTGCCTGTTGTGCAGTAGCTCATTTTAAAGAAAGGTATCCCACTCAGATCCTAATGGAATAGCCTGAGAGGGGTGTGTTTTGGTACCAGGTGATCTTAGGATGGAGTTAATTGGACTGGGGGTGAGCAGCTAGTGTGAAAGTCTGCTTCCTGCTGATGGGATCCCAGGGCTGTCTTGAACTCCAAAGGACCTTCCAGGCTCTGGGACAGAAGACCTTCTGCTCTTTCTGAGGCAAGCTGTTAGCCTTTCCCTTGGATTTCTCACACAAATCTCCTGCCCCATTAGGTGAGGCAACTTGAGGGTCATTATCCATAAAACCAGGGATCTGGAACACTTACGAAAATCTTCAAGCTAGTGGCTTTGGCCACGGATGATTGTCAACTAATATTTGTAGCTTTCTAAGTGGACATAAACAAATGCTTCTTTCAGAGATAACTTTTACGATTAAAGGGCATTTTTAAAAATTATTATGTTATGTTAATCACCATACATTACATCATTAGTTTTTGATGTAGTGTTCCATGATTCGTTGTTTGCGTATAACACCCAGTGCTCCATGCAGAATGTTCCCTCTATTAAAGGGCATTTTTAAAGACTCAAAAAACCTACCAGACTCCACTAAAGAATCTCTAATGGTAGAATTTCAGAAACAAATTAAGTAGCAGGAAGGTATATTTTTGGCAAGGGCTCTGCCTGGTGTTCCTTAATGATATCATATTGTTTCCAGTATTGAATGTTGAAAAACCCTAGACCAGGGACTTTTATGGTCCCTAATCGTAGCTCTGTTTCTTACTACTTCTTTAATCGTGGGCAAGACCTCTAATTCTTTGAATCTGTTTCCTCATTTGCATATTTATTGTCAGAATACAGTATAAGGGCACCTCCAGTTCTAGTATTCTCTAATTACGCCATATTGCTTCTACTCAACTACAATAGCAGCCTTTCAATTAGAGTTCACAAAACAAAGATTCTTTGCAAAAGTGAAATTCATCAAGTATGTAGGATGTCCAATTAACTCTCATTAGTCCATTGTAATAGAGAGCCTTCACTATACATTCTGGAAGGAGGGGAGAAAAAGTAATAATTGGGTGGGAAAGATTTTGTAAATACTGTTTTCCTCAGAAGGACAAAGCATACATCCATTAAAAAGAGTATTATCTGTACTTATAAATTTTTTATTAAAAGTATCAGAACAATTAAAAAGTAGACTCAAATAAGAGTTAATATTAAGAAGTTACAGGAAAGAGCACTGTATTTCTCTACTTAAACTATTTACTATGATAATAATTATGGCTAACATTTATTGAGCCCTAAAACTTGCTAGCAATTATGTTATCCATTCAAATATTGAAGTTCAAAGGAATCTTCTATTATAAAATGCAGCACCCTTTTGACAATGATTTTGAGTCCAATTAATATTCACTGTATTCCGCCCAGACTCTTACTTTGATGTGCATTAGTGTTTTCCCAGCCTTGCTTAGTAAAAAATAGATTAAAAATAAAAGATAGTTACCAAGTTTCTAATATTTGTATTGCCTTAGAGATGAAAGTAGTGAGTCCATATCTCATCATAAATCTCTTTTTCTAAATTGTTTTCCTGGACACAGTTCAAATAGAACAACCAATCTATTTATGTCAGCCTTGCTCTTTTTAGTGACCTCTTATTGAGCAATGTATTAGATGAAGAGGCTGGGTAGCAAACAATAGCATGCTACAAAAACACTGACTAAGGCCTTCTGCTAGACATTCACATTGCTCCCTTTCCATCCCCTGGGAAAGAAGACACAGGCTGGTTCTAGAAATGACAGCTTTATACCAATGATTGTTCACCCTGAAATCAACTCAAATGTGAAACATGTATCTGTACACATGAGTGTATGTACATTCATACATTCACAGCTAATCTTACTTGGTAAAATGACTTGTTGCTTCCAGGTCTGTGTCTTGTGGACGAAGATTATTATACACATATTTCAGGTCTTGGATTCCACCCAGCTCAGGCAATCCTGCATGTATCATCTTAGCAAAACAAACAGAACAAAAACAAAAAAACTCAGAATAAACGTAAATCAAATCTTACTTAGTCAAGTTTGGTTAAGCTTACTTGGTTAATTCTACAAATACATATAAACTTAAATTTACATAACAACGCTTTTCAGTTCGTAAACATGAATGGATATAATTCATGTTTTTTTTAACTTCCTGTGTTTACTAACAGAAGCAACAAACAATAATAATAAGAAGAAGAACAAATAAAGTTGTCAAAGTGCTTGCAGATTAATAATTTAATTTTATCTTCATCATAAACCAGTGAAGTAAGCGTGATAGTATGATTAACCTCACCTTGTCTTCTTGTAGAAGAGGCATATTCAGCACTGGACAGTAGACTAATTAGGGTTCTAGTGTCAGAATCTCTAGACCTACTATTTAAAATCTGAATAATCATGAAAAAAGTTTCTTAACTTCTTTGAATCTACATTTTCTCTTTTAAAGTAGAGATAAGAATACCCAACATGTTCTAGGGCAATCAAATGGTTAATGAATAAGGAAAGGATTTATACTTATAAATTGTTACACAGAAATTATATTGCAATACACATTTTAAAGAAGAAAAACTTAATCCCCCCAAAAGTGTAAGTGAAGTGTCCAGATCAAATGGTGTGGAAGCACAGAGTATAAAACTCATCCCTCTGGTTCTTAATCTTACATTCTTTCATGACTCTATGACTCATATCCTAAAAACACAATTTTCCCTAGTTAAGTGGTGATTCCATTTATTAAAGATTATTAAAACAATGAAGTAAAGATAAAATTATACTAAGTCTCAGATATTTTTTTCTGCCAATCTTTGGAAACGTACTGTGTTTATACTATAATGTAGACTGAAGGGATAATATTCATTTTAGTTACAGGCAAAAATAAAGAAAATATTTTTTGAGAAAAAGATCTTTCTGAAATAAATTTAAACTTTGAAAAAGAAGAAGGAGGAGGAGCACGAGGAGGAGAAGAAGGAGGAGAATGTCAACATTACCTCTATGACTAAGATGATAAATTATTTCCTGTTCTGGAATAGAGGCACTCAGAGTGCTGGGAAGTTAAGAACAATGCTACTAATGCTAAAAATAAAGGATAAAATGAGAATATGGCTAGGAAAGATGGGTGAAGTTGTGATTATCTTGATGAAGTTCAAGCGAGAAAGAAATGGATTTGAAACTGTTGTCTTTCCTACTGTCCCCACTCAGGCAGAGGGAACAGCATACATAGATGTACTGAGGAGAGCAAGACATCTTTCATTAGTTCACAAAAAGAATTCCAGGAGAGCTTCTGGAACATAAGATATCCTGTGGATGGGTGACAAGAGATGGGGCTAAAGAGTTAGGTAGAGTAAGATCTTTTAGCAATATAAAAGTTTTGTACTTTATCCTAAAGGCGAGACAGCTCTTTTAGTGTTTTTAAATGGGCATGAAAATAACTGAATTGTGTTTTAAAAAGATCATCATCAAGAAACAAGAAAGGTCTCAAGTACACAACCTAACCCTACACCTAAAGGAGCTGGAGAAAGAACAACAAATAAAGCCTAAACCCAGCAGGAGAAGAGAAATAATAAAGATCAGAGCAGAAATCAATGAAATAGAAACTAAAAGAACAGTAGAACAGATC